GACAGAAGAGGCCACATCAAAGAAAGAAGGAAGTGCAGAGATGTGGTTTAGGGAAGAAAGGGATCATGAGTGCTGTGGAGGGAAGGGAGCCATGGTCACGGATAAGGGTGAGAGACAGGTGCACACAGGAACACAAAAAGAACCTTTCCCCAAGGCCATGGCTTGGAAAACAAGAGGCTGGATTTCATGAGTTTTTGCAACTATAGGGCTTAATGTCTGGAGTTTTAAGGGTCCATGAGCTTGACTAGGATAGAGCCCTGAAGGCACCACCCTGCTCCTGGAGAGAAGGCAAGCAAACAACATGGGGGCAGATGACATGGAAATAGCAATCTGAAGAACACCCGGGGCACACGCGGGGGTGATTATTCACTCTTATCGGAGCACACCCCTGAGAGGCAGTGTTGACTGAAATGCCTCTCCTGGCAAAAAGGAGGGGGCTTATGCCATTTCCCTCTCCTGTATCTAGCATAAACACCCACCCACCTGCAGGAAGCATTGCAGTGAAACACTGGCTGCCTAACTTGTTTACACCAAGCCCATCACCCCTGCGTCCTGGCAGGACTGGCCTTTTCAGTCAAGTTTATGTCAGTCCCAGAGTGGTGGACCCCTCCCCTAAAGACCAGCACAAACCTCTGCCCACACCTCTGACCAGAGAGTTCTTTAGGGTCTCAATTCTGGTGGAGTTTGTGTTGAAAGAAAGAGAAAGAGAGACAGAGAGAGAGAGGTAGGAAGGAAGGAAGGAAGGAAGGAAGGAAGGAAGGAAGGAAGGGAGGAAGGAAGGGAGGGAGGAGGGAGGGAGGGAGGAAGGAGGGAGGGAGGGAGGAGGGAGAGAGGGAGGGAGAAAGGAGGCAGGGAGGGAGGAAGGAGGGAAGAAATGTCTTATACTTTGAGAATAATAGGTATTAACTCCTCTTTAAATATTTGATAGAGTTCACCTGCGAATCCATCTGGCCCTAAAATTTTGTTTGTTGGGAGTTTTTTGATTACTGATGATTTTTGTTGCTGGTTACCCATCTGTTCAAGTTTTCTATTTCTTCCTGATTCAGTTCTAGGAGTTTATATGTTTCTAGGAATTTATCCATTTCTTCCAGGTTGTCCGATTTGTTGGTTCATAGTTTTTCATAATCTCTTATAATTGTATTTCTGTGCTGTCGGTTGTTATTTCTCCTTTCTCATTTGTGATTTTATTTATTTGAGTCCTTTATCTTTTCTTTATGATAAGTTCCTGGGTGGCTCAGACGGTTGAGTACACACACACACACACACACACACACACGTGCGCGCGCACGTAAGCACACACGATGGAATATCATTCAATCAAAAAGAATGAAATCTTGCCATTTGCAACAATGTTGATGGAGCTACAGTGTATTATGCTAAGCAAAATAAGTCATCCAGAGAAAGGCAAATACCATATGATTTCACTCATAGGTGGAAATTAAATAAAACAAATAGTAAAGGGAAGAGGGTGGGGAGAGGGGCAAAGCAAGAAACAGGCTCTCAACTATGGAGAACAAACTGATGGTTGCCGGAGGGGAGACGTGTGGGAGGATGGGTTAAATAGATGATGGGGATTAAGGAGTGTACTTGTGACGAGCACCGGGTGTTGCACGGAAGTGTTGAATCCCTATATTGTACACCTAAAACTAATGTTACACTGTTTGTTAACTAACTGGAATTTAAATAAACACTTAAAAAATAAGTAAGTCACCGGGGTATTAATTACAGCGTAGGGAATATAGTCAATAATATTTTTATAACTTAGTGTGCTGACAAAGGGTCATAAGATTTATAAGGGTGAACATTTCATTCTGTGTAGAGTTTGACTTACTGTGTTATACACTGGAACTAATACAATATTGTATGTCAACTATGCATCATTAACAGATAAAATTATCCCCCACTGTTGCAAAGGAAAAACTACAGACCAGTAGAAACCTACATGTAAAAATCCTTGTTTACAAGTACTTTTTGGGAGCACCCAGGTGGCTCAGTTGGTTAAGCGGCCAACTCTTGATTTCATGTTGGGTCATGATGTCACATTTTTTTTTTTTAACATTTATTGTTGAGAGACAGAGTGTGTGCAGGGAAGGGGAAGAGAGAGAGGAAGACACCGAATCTGAAGGAAGTTCCAGGCTCTGGGTTGTCAGCACAGAGCCCGATGTGGGGCTTGAAATCACAAACTGTAAGATCGTGACCTGAGCCGAAGTCAGACACTCAACCGACTGAGCCACCCAGGTGCCTCCATGATGTCACGTTTCATGAGTTCAAGCCCCGTGTCAGGCTTGGTGCAGACAGCACAGAGCCTGCTTGGTCTTCTCTCTCTACCTCTCTGTCTCTACCTGCTTGTGCTGTCTCTGTCGCTCTCTCAAAAATAAATAAATAAACATTTTTTAAAAAGTACTTTTTCTGCCCTCACTGAATTTTTAAAAATTACCTTCATTTTTCCCCTATGGAATTAGACTCAGGCTTTTGTCAATGAGAACAAATATATTGATTAAAATACAGACAACTAGTTATCATGAGAGGATGAATCAATGAATAATATGAATAATTATTTAATGTTTCAATTTCTGCCATGGTGTTATTGTTCAATATTGTTTGATATTTTCTCCTTTCCAGAAATTTCTCGTTTTCCGCAGAAACCTAATAACTCATTTATGCATGACAAAATTGAATGAAGGTATCTTAAAACTTAGGGCAGAAAAATTGAGAAGAAAAGTTTGGAAATTAATGACTTTGTGACAGTGACAAGAAAGCCGAAAATATAGCAAGTCTTCAGAATTAGTACCAAAAACATTAAATACTTGTTATGGGGATGATGGTTTTAGAATATTTTCAGTATAATAGAAATGACATAGCAAGGGCATAAGAGAAAGAAGTATGTAATATTTAGCAACTTTGTCTAAAACGTAAACATCTAAGGTATTTCTCACAAGGCCTAAGTCCTCAGTGTTTGTGATTCAGATGGAAGAACAGCCTGGGTGGTCAAGTTTCTGATCCCAAAATCTTGTGGAACCTAAACATTTCTCAAGGGCATTTGCCAATGGACAAATTAAACGACACACTACAAGCTGCAAGTCTCTGCATTCTGGAGGCGTGTGATAATATAAATGGGCTTCAAAATAGCCCAAGGGTAAGAATTTCCTGTTCAAATTTGAAGTGACACATTGATGAGAAATCTACTTTTTCCATTATTGCCTCCTTCTGAGGTCACACAGGGCCAGCAGGCTGTGAAAACCACAGATATCATCTGTTTACAAGAGTAACCTGGCTCCCTCTGGAAGATGCATGAGTGTCTGGGCCACAGAAGTCATGTGTCACTACTGTCCTGTCTCTTTACTCCGTCACCCCAGTGAGTGGGAGATTATAAATGCTGGTGGGATGCATCTGAGGCACAGCTAATATACAATGAAATCACAGAGAACATTGGTATCTGTATTCCAACAATTCAGGGTAACAAACAAGAATGAATATGAAATACATTGGAGACTTTTTAAAAATATTTAATCTTGCCTGTGGAGAAGTAATCATGTACACACACAGACGCATATAATTGGGTTTGTAAGTTAATATAATGTTGAGTGAAATCCCATAAGCATCATGGCAAGAAACACTTAATTTTGAATTTGTCATCAGTATAGATATAATTACATGTATGATTTGATATTTAGCCCAGCCTTTAAAAATAGATTCTTAAAGTGAATTCATCGCATCGTGAGAGTCAAACATTACACACTTACTTAGGTAAATGAAAGCAGTTTGGTTTTCATAAAAAGCAGGATGAGCTACCTTCCGTAAAATGCTAATTTAAACTTAACTGTAAACAATCAAAAGACCTTTTAAAAATTAACCAAAACTCAAAAAAAAAAAAAAAATCCATACTGAAAGGCACTACTGTGTAATGAATAATGTTTTATGCTCTAACAAATCAGTAGTTATAATGTGACTATGGTGTTAAAAATACTTAAAATAATTAATATTGAGAGTTTATAAAAGTCAGATTGAATAGTGAATGCTTTATATGTGTTATATTTTTACATATTTTGCTCCAAGTTTACATTAGTAAACTAGGTAGTTAGACACAAAGTAACTTTTTAAAGGTCATACTTTGTAAATTTGAGAGGCAGAAGTAGGTCCAGATCTCACTGACTACAGAGCTCATGGGCTGAACTATTAATTTACATTTAATTTCTGTTTATTACACTTGCTTACACAACTAAGACTACCCTCACAACTTTTAACATTCACAAATCTTTCTGGAAGTTTGTACCAAAACAGTTCTTCCACAAATGATCTATACTTTTGTAATTTTATCATTTTATGGTTACACATATTACAATTAATGGTAGTTTCTGGTGTTAAAAAAGTTCTTTAAGAAAGTCACTTTTTAAAATTTTGTTTTCAGTGTTCAAGTTTTGGATAAGTTTAGTGTGTCACATTAACAGTTTTGAACATATACATTTTTTCTTTTAAAATTTAATAATTTCTCAGAACTCCACAATAACCCAAAAGATCATTTGATAATAACACATCACCTTTTAATAAATAAGTATGTCACCAAATAAAAGTAATTTATTACAGGATAGTTCTATATGTGTTAAAACACAATTCCCCAATCAGAATACTCAACTTTTAACCAATAATGGATTTAAAACTTGTCAAAAACATTGGTGCAACATTTTCTTTCTAACGCAGCATTTTAGTTTTAACCCAGTTATTCTAATAGTGTTGAAATGTTTCTGTGGAATCTGGCCTTATATTAATGAGGACAGTGTTATTCATGAATTCCTTTCTTCTTCACTAATCTATTGCTTTACGTTTTTCCAACCAATACTACTGTGTCAAACATAGAATGTCAGAGTAAAACCCATTTATTCTATCATGACACACTCCTTTAAAGCTCTTAGGAAATTAGTACCAGATTTCATATTGTTCAACTGCAAAAGAGTAGTATCACTTACCCCGCACTCCACCCCGTGTGAGCAATCTTGTCCTTACATTACATACACTATTTATCAAGACCTTCAGTACAGTTTCATACAGCACTGTGCCTGTCATGACTCAGCTGCAGACATGAATAGCCAAGAAGTTACTTATGCAGAACTTAATCTGATGAAAGACTCAAAGAGACAGCAAATGAAACCCAAGGGCACTAATATTTCCATTTCAGTAACTGAGCAGGAACTGTTCTATGCAGAATTAAATCTTCAAAATGCTTCTCAGGATCTTCAAGGGAATGACAAGAACTATCACTGCAAAGGTAAAACATTTAATATGCACACAGTATAACTGTTCTAGGATGTGCAGTTAAGGTGCAGGGGTGTAGAGAATGAGCCGGGAATGAGCTCATAGTTTTCATTTGTGAATATCAGAGCTTGGAGTTGGATAATGGTATTCTAATTGAAATCTAAAGACTAAATTTACTCAGCTATTGTAATTTGTAGTCTTTGACCAAAAGCTCATGGAGTATTACCTTTACTTAAAATGCAGTCGTATATTCTGGGAAAAGATTACAATGATAGATAATGGGCTTGGGGTCCAAGTGTTTATTTGTGACTCCCTGTGCATCTGTAGTTCTCTTATATGTAACTTTCCTAAATAATTATTTCCTTCCATCCTTTCTCAGTGTTTTCATTTCTCTTCTAAATATTTACTATTATTTCCAGGGAAGCTCATTGCTAGGATCCTGGGAATCATCTGCCTTGTCTTGATGTCCACTGTGGTAACAATAGTAGTTGTTACCTGTAAGTGTTTGAATGACTATTTGGGAACTTTTCATTTTAATGACTGTCAGTGCCTCAAAATGTCTCCTACTATTATGGAATAGAATTTCCATTTTAATGCATATGTGCTCTAAATGTGCAATGGTTATTCTGAATTTGTCAAAAATATAAAAGAATAATTGCAGACAGCATTACACATGTGTTCAGATGTCATTACTCAAAGAGATGATCTAGGAGAAAAGTTGTTGAGAAATACAAATTAATTCTTGAGATCGATTATGCCAAATACTGTAAGAGATGGTGAGGTTTGGGTTTGTAGGCTTTCGAAATATTTTCTCCCTAATCATTACTTTATTAATATTGCTTAGTAATATAAATTTTATTACAGTTTTCTAATTCTAAACAATACAGAAAGTTTTAAATTGAGAAACTCAAATCATTACGATGTATTTGGTTTAATATTAAATTTTTATGAGGCTTCATTTAATTTTTTCAGCTACTGAAATACCAGAGCAGAAAAATTTGTCCCTGACAACAAAGATCCAGAAAGGTACAAAGTGATTTTCAAAATTCTAATATTAACATAGTTTCTATTTTATCTCTACCTTTGGCTGGGCAACAATGGTACTGGAGTTTTTGGAGGAAAATTAATTACAAAACTGGGTAATAATGGTTCAGAAATGATGATTATACGAGAGTATTATTTCTTAAGCAACAATATGAAGAGATACTCATTTAAAATTGCCATACCCATTGTTACCAATTTCCTCAATTTTCTTCTGGTATAACATGATGAGACATAAATCATTTTACTATTCTAAAAAAGTGGCTTTGTTCAGTGATCTCAGGGCATGCTGAGATAGATATTTTTGTGTGTTTGCTTTATATGGACACATAAGTTAGGGAATGAGAAGCTGACCATTCTCTCTGTGTGTACGTGAGCATATTTTGTTTTATTTGTATGGGCCTATGAGGGTGCACAAATATGTACGCATGTATATCCATATACAAGTATGTAAATTTACTAGAATTTGTTAGTGTTCAAAATGCTTTTGGGTAATGAACAAATCAGGAGACTATAGATGCTGGAGAGGATGTGGAGAAACGCGAACCCTCTTGCACTGTTGGTGGGAATGCAAATTGGTGCAGCCACTCTGGAAAGCAGTGTGGAGGTTCCTCGGAAATTAAAAATAGACCTACCCTATGACCCAGCAATAGCACTGCTAGGAATTTATTCAAGGGATACAGGAGTACTGATGCATAGGGGCACTTGTACCCCAATGTTTATAGCAGCACTCTCAACAATAGGCAAATTGTGGAAAGAGCCTAAATGTCCATCAACTGATGAATGGATAAAGAAATTGTGGTTTATATACACAATGGAGTACTACATGGCAATGAGAAAGAACGAAATATGGCCCTTTGTAGCAACGTGGATGGAACTGGAGAGTGTGATGCTAAGTGAAATAAGCCATACAGAGAAAGACAGATACCATATGGTTTCACTCTTATGTGGATCCTGAGAAACTTAACAGAAACCCATGGAGGAGGGGAAGGAAAAAAAAAAGAGGTTAGAGTGGGAGAGAGCCAAAGCTTAAGAGACTGTTAAAAACTGAGAACAAACTGAGGGTTGATGGGGGGTGGGAGGGTGGGGAGGGTGGGTGATGGGTATTGAGGAGGGCACCTTTTGGGATGAGCACTGGGTGTTGTATGGAAACCAATTTGACAATAAATTTCATATATTGAAAAAAAAACTTAAAAAAAATGCTTTTGGGTAATATCTCATAATCTTTCTCCAGCACATCACTGTGGTTGTCCAAAAGAGTGGTTTGTGTATTCCAACAATTGCTATTACATTAGCACTGAGAGAAAATCATGGAATGAGAGTTTTATGTCCTGTGCTTCTAAGAACTCTAACCTGCTGTACATAGATGATGAAGAAGAAATGGTAAGATTTCAAATATTTCCAGATTTTATGAATAGCTTGTCAGTTAATAGAATATTTGTAGAGTTCATTCATAGGTTTGTACATATTTATAGTTTATTTCAAAGTCTGTTAATATTACCTAGTTTGACTCTATGATATTTTATTTATATTTTTATATTTTAAGGTACACTTGATAATTTCACTTTTTGCTTTTCATAGAAAATTGTGCTTCTATAAATGCTCTTTTGCCAGAAATAAAGTTTGCTATTTAATTTTACCACACATCAGGCCTTTGTCAGCCCTGCCAATTTCAATATTATGAAATATCTTTGCTTATTTTTGGACTTTATGTCAATGGAATCATGCGGTATGAATTTTTATATGTGTTTCCCTTCGCCCTCATGTATGTGTAATCCATCTATGCTATCGCATTTGTCTATAGTTTGTGAATTTTCACTGCTGTCTTATATGAATATTGTGGGGGGCCGGGCCCCGGTGCCAGCCTGAGACTGGGTGGAGCAATGTTCCCTGTTGACTTAGCCAACCCGGTGGTTCCCCCTCCCATTCCCCCACTTTCAAGGGCATACGAAAGCCTTGTCAAGGCTGAGAAAGTTAATTCCTGAAGCCTGTGGTCTGCAGATGTTGGCCGTAATGCTACCTCCCTTCTTCTACCCCGAGTCAGGTAGAAACAAACATGGGAACTGTGTTTTGCTAGCAATCTTATCAACAAGGTCTTGTGACCCGTCTAGAAAATACACAAGAAACACAGAACTAAATGTTTTGGTTGGCAGCGATTATGTGAAACCTGATTATTCTTAGAATGACCTGATCCATAAGAGTCTTATATTATAAAAGATTGTGTACAGCAACAATAAAGCCGTCACTTGGGCCATCAGCCCAGGGGACCCTCCTGTTCCCAAACTTTCTCTTCTCTCTTTTTTTCTTGCATTCCCCTACCCTCAGGACCCTGACCTCGGTGTTTGTCGCGCCGGTCGTGACAGAATATGATATTTTAAAATCTATTCTCATATACAACTTTAGTTTACTCTTAATATGTGGTGAGGGCACCATGAAGAATTATTTTATGGAAAGCCTTTTTGGGGCACCTAGTTGACTCAGTCAGTAGAGCATGCGACTCTTGACTTTGGGGTTCTAAGTCCAAGACCTACACTGTGTATAGGGATTACATAAAAATAAAACCTTAAAAAAAGAAAAGCCTTTACTGTATCTTTTTTACATATTACTTTGTAATTATAATAATATATATGAGGCATAACAATATAGTATATAATATATTTCGGCATGTCAATATTATATTTATTACAATAAAATAATAATGTAGAAATATAACACTATCATGGTATTTATGAGTAATCATAACACATTTTCCTCTAAGCATTAGAATGAAATTTCACCTTCACAGGTATGTGTGTATTTCAATTTATTAGATTATTCCAACATTTTTCTAGCTTATTGCGTGAATACATGTTGTACCAAATGGGTTCTTGATCCAAAACGCAGTAGTCTGACAAAATTAATACAATAAGCTCTGAATGTTTTATAACAGTACCATTTTCTGGGCTGTAACTCATTAGGATCGTTTCCTTTGTGTTAGTGAGAAGTGCTCAAGTGTGACTCTTGTCCATTTCTCCTAGATGGTGTCTTCTTTTCCCTTTTTAGAAGTCCTTGTCATATTTTAGATAAGAGCTCTTTTTTGAGTTTTAAGATGTAAATGGATCTTTGACTCTTGTGACTTGCATGTTTACTCTTTTAATGACCAAAATTTATTAATGTTACTATAATTCAATTTATCATTTTGGGCATTGGTGCTTGTTTGGGACCCATTTCAGAAATTAGTTAGAGTTCATGAATATAATTTCCTATATGACTTTCTAGGATTTATTGATTTATTAACTTTTAACTAAGGTTTATGGTCCATTTGTGATGCTGTATTTATGATGCTGCGAGATAAAAGTGAAGGTTATACTTTTCTACATCACTACGTAATTGATGGAACAAAATTTATAGCAAAGTAGATTCTTTTCTTTACATTTAATTTTTATATAGAGAGTTATATATATATATAGTTATAGTTATATATATAGTTATATATACAGTTTTATATATATATGTAAGTATATAAGCTCTAATATGCTTTATAAGATAGTAATCTATTATATATCTTTATAAAATTATATATACATATATCACAACTACACAGTCTATCACAACCCACAGCAGCTTAAGTAAAATGTAGAGCCTTAATTTTCTTTATGTCCCTCTGCTGTGTCCCATTTACAATAGAATTGTCTTAAATATTTCTCTATTTATGTTGAGAATCACATGGATGTTATAATTTTGCTTCAACTGATAAGTTTGCTTCAAATATCAAACAATTTAGAAAATACAAGAGATGAAAGAAAGTCCGTCCATTAAGCCTAATGGTAGTTTTATTCTTTCTTTTGTTCCCTCTTTCTTCCTGATGATCCAGGACTCCTTTTATCATTTAACTTCTGTTAAGATAATTCCCTTTAGCAGTTCTTTCAGAGCGGATCTGGTGGTGGTACATTTTCTTAGTTTTCCTTTATTGGAGAATCTCTTGATTCCCCTGCAAGCCTGAGTTATATTTTTATTGGATAGTCAATGGTTTTGGATTGGAATAATTCAGTTAGTATCAAAAACTTTTCTGTCTTTCCAGCATGCCTTTTCCCCGTTATTTTGACGGGAGAGAAAAAATATTTGGGGGATTTTTGTGTGTACCTATTGTGTCTGTGGTTTGCTGGCCTCTCAGGCACCAGTCTGGGATATGTGAGGTGAAGAGAAATTCCAGGGAGCTGACCTCCCTGTCATTCCTCGGTTTTCCAGGGCTGGGATCTGCCAGCTTTCTCATTACCTTTCCAAATCTTCTTATGTTGTCTTATTATGTATAATGTCCAGGGGTTCTAGCTATATTTAGTGGGATGAATAGGGAAAAGTCTATCCTCTATATTTTTCCAAAACAGGAAGTCTGGTCTATGGTGGTTTTAATTTGAATGTTCCTAAGACAAACAGTTTTGAGTATCTTTTCCTGTACTCATTTGCCAATCTTCTATGTTTCTTGGTGATGTAATTCATGAAATATTTGATTATATTTAATTTTTATTTGCATTTTGAGAATTCTTTATGTAACCTGGCGGCAAGTCTTTTATTAGATGTATGATTTGCAGTTATGTCCTTCAAGTCTGTGATTTTTCTTTGTCTTCAAAAAGCAGAAGTCATTTATTTTGATGAAGTATACTTCATCAATTTGTTCTTCTTTGGATCATGTTTCTGGAGTTCTGTCTAAAAAGTCTATCTAAAAACTAAAAGAAGTGGATAGTTTACACTTAGGTTTACAATCAGTTTGGAGCATTTTTGTATGGAGCTTAGGGCATGTAATTATTAACATTATTTGATAGTTATTTCCACAGCGTTTGTTGACAAGACTATACTTTCTCCAGTGAATGACTATGCATCTTTGTTGAAATCTGCATTCCCTATATATATGTGGGTATAAATTTTCACCTCCTAATCTGTTTCATTAATCTAGTTATGTATTATTTTTAATTTTTTTAACGTTTATTTATTATTGAGAGACAGAGAGAGGCAGAGCATGAGCATAGGTTGGGGCGGGGGGGCGCTGGCCGAGAGAGGAGGAGACACAGAATCTGAAACAGGCTCCAGGCTCTGAGCTGTTAGCACAGAGCCTGATGCGGGGCTCGAACCCACAAACTGTGAGATCATGACCCCAGCCGAAGTCGAACGCTTAACCAACTGAGCCACCCAGGCGCCCCAGTTATGTATTTTTATTTCAATTTCCTGTTTAAAAAGCTATTTTTTAAAAAATACATATATATTAATTTTGCTTTGTTGTCTTGACTACTCTAGATATTTGAGTGGTATTTTCTCTTATTTTTATGTTTTTAAAAGTTATTTTTTCAAATAAGAATATTAGTTTTATCAAATGCCTTCTGCAACAGAGAAGTCATATTTTTTTGCAATTTATTAAATTTCAGTTAGTTAACATATAGTGTAATATTAGATTCAGATGTAGAATTTAGTGATTCATCACTTACAATATGCAGTGCTCATCACAAGTACCCTCCTTAATACCCATCACCCATTTAACCTATCTCCTCCCCCACGCCCCTCCAGTAATCATCACTCTGTTCTCTCTAGTTAAGAGTCTGTTTTCTAGTTTGTCTCTCCTCTTTCTCCCCTAAATTCATCTGTTTTGTTTCTTAAATTCCACATGAGTAAAAGCATACAGTATATGGTAAGTGTCTTTCTCAGTATGACTTAGCATAATACTCTCTAGCTCCATCCACATCATTACAAATGGCAAAAATTCATTCATTTTTTATGTTTTGGCTGAGTAGTATTCCATTATATATATGTAACACCTCTTCTTTATCCATTCATCACTCGATAGACACTTGGGCACTTTCCATAATTTGGCTATTATTGATAATGCTGCTATAAACACTGGGTTGCATGTATTCCTTCATATCTGTATTTTTTTAACCTTTGGGTAAATACTTAGAGATGGAATTGCTGGATCGTAGGGTAGTTATCTTTTTAACTTTTTCAGGAACCTCCATATTGTTTTCCAGAGTGTCTTCACCAGTTTGCATTCCCACCAACAGTGCTAGAGCATTCCCCTTTCTATGCATCCACACTAACATTTGTTGTTTCCTGTGTGGTTCATTTTAGCTGTTCTACCTGGTGTGAGGTGATATCTCATTGTAATATTCCCTGATGGTGAGTGATGTTGAGCATTTTTTCATGTGTCTATTAGCTAGCCATCTGTATGTCTTCTGTGAAAAAATGTCTATTCATGTTTTCTGCCCATTTTTTCACTTGATTATTTGTTTTTTGGGTGTTCAGTTTTATAAGTTCTCTATAGATTTTGGATACTCAGTCTTTATCAGATGTAATTTGCAAATATCTTCTCTTATTCCAAAGATTGACTTTTAGTTTGGTTGATTGCTTCCTTCTCTATG